ACGTAATATTCACGTTGTCGACCTGCCCATTGCAAGCAAGATGGCCTGCCCGACACCCTTCCGCGCTTCTATCGCATCGCCCCGTTGTAATCATTAAGGGGATGTCTCTTTAGGTGAACGCAAGTCGGAATTTAAAAAGATTTTTAATGGGTTAGGTGCAATCGTATGCAATCGACCGTTACCGACGTCGTTGTAGTCGCGGTCGTCCACAATGGAAGCGGCAGAGGAGACGCGAACAATGTGGCACATTATTAAGTATGCGATGCGGTGCGACGCGGAACGAGCTTTCAGTCTCGAAAAGCTCGCTCGCTGCTACGCTTTCCAAGAATTGTTGGGTGTCCGAAGCGCTCGTAAATTCTCGTGAAATTTACATTCGCCTCCGCTCTTGTTTCTAAACTGGACTTAATGAAAAATAAACCGGTCACAATACACTATTGTACAATTAAATAACCCGAGTGTCATTTTGGACGTGTGGTAAGTACTTGTTAGTGTAATCGAATCAGATCCAGTATTAGGTTGTCCGAATAATTCGAAAATGTTCCTTATATTACATGGACGAATGTCCTGCTACTGTCTTCCAACCACCAATTGCTATCATCGTTTTATGGTGTCGCCTCTGTACGCCATAATACTAACATTACAAATAGTATAGAAGGCCAACAGTTAAAAACAGACATCGAGCTGTATGGCCTAGAGGTTTAGACTATTGCTTAGCATTCAGGAGAACGCCGGTTCGACTCCGGGTCCGTCTACCTTGGTCCAAGTTTTTCTATGGTTTCCTTGGATCACTTAGGCAAATGCTGGAGTAGTAATATACCACAGATAATCTTTCATTCTCGTCTGTCTTCATTTCGTCCGTCCCACCTTTCTCACCCATTCCCACGATTCCTGAAAGGAGGCTGAAGAGGGTCTTCCGCCATACCTACCGGCGTAGTCCGGGGGGACTGCCCGCCCACCAGCATTACTGGCTGATGAGAATGAAACACAAAAGTTAAGTTATAGTTATAGTCCGAAAGTCTAATTATATTTCTATCACTAACGAACATACTCGTAAAATTAGTCAAAACTCTTCGAAATAGCACCCTTCCACATTGAAACACTTTTGGAGCTCTAAGGCGTACTGGAAAATCTCCGAAATGCCTTTTAGAACCGATGCAACATGAGCCGGGACGTTTTCAATAGTGTTCCACTATTTCCTTGTCAGGACTCTTCAAACAATAAGACAGAAGAGCCAACGAGCTGCAGGATTTGGTCAAGAAACCATGATATATCTATGCGTGTTTGACGTAACTTCGGAATTACGAACCCTCCTTTTTTTTAGCACATTCAAGTAAAAAGCTGCATCTCCCTCATCTGCGCCATGTTTGTTAGGCTCCTTCCACTTGACGATTCGTAATAGCGATGGTCTTGTAGTAAACTTTATCAACATCAATTAGACATGGGCACGTAAACACATTTATTTGTGGACTTTAAAACTGACAAGTACTAGAAAAAATGAAAATCCCATGGTTAGTTAATTAGCTATATAGCCACGGATAGCAGAATAATGTTAATGACGAACAAATGCTAGGGCAAACCGAGATTTAGGATTACGTATGCTCCAACAAGATCCATTTAAATATATGGATATCTACTTGCTGAAACAAATCCCGGCGTAGCTAACCTAACTTAGCTAAAATGTAGCATCGTACTACAGATGGCGTTTGCCGCGCCATTTGTGGTATTTTCAAAACGCGCTGTTAAGACGGCAGGTAAAAGTTGGTCTGTGTTCTGTCGGAGCTGTCTGCGACGCGCTGATGAGATCAAAAAAGATAGAAATCGCGATCCACGTCTGGCAGTTTCGACAGAATACAGACCACTTCGAATTATTTTATTCGATTAAGTTAACGTGCCTATCACGTTGAAGTTAGCTACGCCGGGATTCGTTTCAGCAAGTAGATATCCATATATTTAAATGGACCTTGTTGGAGCATAGGTAATCCTAAAATGTAGCATCGTACTACAGATGGCGTTTACCGCGCCATTTGTGGTATTTTCAAGGCTAATATGGTAAAATAAGACTAAAAGATGAACCTGATGCATCGTTCTTCTATATTAAAATTGATGAAAGCTATATGTATAACATACTTGTGCTCTTGAGAATGGCTTTTTAGTTAAAAATCCACACTTATTGAAGTTCATCAACCCAGCGTATCAAGCTTAAGTCGTTTCATGTGATAGAAATTGTGATACAATGACATTGATTTCTCTAAGTTGAAATTGGTGAATGTTTATTGTTTCATCACCCAACTAACAAAATAAATATTCGAAACGCGAAAAGTGGAAACAAAAGTATAATTACACCCATATGTTCCGCGAAAGTGAACCGTAGTGGAATAGAATTTGGGGGAAAATCGTTTTACGGTTTTTGTTTTAATGCCAACTCGGCTGCGTTAGTTTAGGCACTTTTTGTACTACTTTACAGTCAGAAAACACAACTGATGTTTGAAGCAAAAACTCAAATCTAGTCCAGTTTCGGGTGGTTCATTTTCCATTCCGTACACTAGTTTAAAAATAAACTGGAGCGAATGTTTTAACGAAATTTACGTCCTGCCGGTATAATCCTCGGCCTGCGGCCGGGACGTGAGCTCCACATCTAGGACCTCACGCTGAATACTTAATGCATGCCTTCTTCCGTTACCTCGCCTTCTTTCTCTCTTTCTCTTATTCCATACCATTCTTTTCACCACTGCCTCATCTATCGCACATAAATTATTTTTCTAGGACCGAAAATCCTCTTCTGCAGCTTTCAGCAACCGACTATATTTTCATACTAAGACTAAAGGAAAACATTAAATACGTGAAGCACCGCCATACATTTCCCCCTTTTTCACTTAACTGCTGCTCTTTCCTTTCCCTTCAATAACTACTTTAACTTTAATAAAAGAAGAGCAGAACGTTTTCGACAAATTTTTTACATTGGACCATGAATTGTATTCGTTATAAAACTGTTGAAGTAATGATTATGAGTTTTACAGTGATTTATTGAGACTGTTTTTGGCGCGCTGATGAGATTTAATGAGATCGAAATCGCGACCTGCTTCTGGTAGTATCGATAAATTTCTGACTAAGAACTTAAAACAAATTTTTCTGATTAAAATGGTTTGAGTGTGTATATGCAAGAGAAGAAAAAGTAGGGAAAGAACGAATATAAAGATAGGTATCCACGAAGTCAGATAAGTCAAGACGGAAGGAGTAGTAGGGATATAAAGCAAAGGATGGCGCAGAGTCGAGTTGCCTTCAATAAAAAGAAGTCACTACTATGTTCGCGAACGATTAATTTAGAAAAGATTGTTAAAGGTGTATGTATGAGTGTGGCGCTGTACGGGTGCGATACATGGACGGTGGGCGCGGCGAAACGGTTAGAAGCGTTCGAAATGTGGTGTTACAGGCGAATGATGAGGATACCGTGGATAGACAAAATTACAAATGGAGAGGTATTAGAAAGAATAGGAGAACAGAGGACTCCATGGAAGTCAATAAGAAATAAGTAAGATAGGTTAATAGGACACCTTCACAGTCATGAAGGTCTAGTCAGAGACATATTAGAGGCAGAAACTGGAGTCAGGAGAGGTAGAGGTAGACCTAGATTAGATTACTGTTCGCAAATAGTTAAGGATGTGGGTTGTTCTGGTTTTAGGGAAATGCGAAGATTAGCTCAGTATAGGAATGAGTGGAAGTGCTTGTCTAACTAGTTTTAGGACTGACGATTCCTGATGATGATGTATATGTACCCTGCATAATCGATTCAGTTCAGCAAGTTGATACCTTAATAAAGCTTTGTTTAACGCAGGGGTGGCCAGACCGCGGTCCGCGATGAACATTTTTCCAGCGCGAAAGATTCATCAAAATTTTGGAAAATATATTTGTTTTATTTTTTGACGAAGAGAACAATGTTAAAACACTAAGTGAGGCTTATTTGAGGCAGATACGTAGCTTCATTGAAGTAACCTTAATTTTGACAGCATGAATAGGTATATGGAAATTTTATTTATGACACATTTTCAACAACTGTGCCATTTCATTTTCTGTGTAGCTGAATAAGTTGTCTCAGCTTGTCCTGCAATTTTGTTCGGAAATACGCCATTCAGTACGTGTTGGTCGATGTTTAGTTTTACTTTGTGCTTAAATATAATATTTAACTTAAACACCGTTAGTATTGATGATAAAATTCAGTTACTTACATGTTCTATAACAAATATGGTGAAGAAAAATGCTCAAGTTTTTCATTATAAACCCATAAGTAGTATGCAACATTTTAATGGAACAAATATTATTGTGACGAACCTTTCAGCACGTCTAGTTATGTATCTAAATATACAGGGTGTTTCACATAAGGAAACACATGGCTTCCATTTGCTTCCTGGCAAGTCGTAAGTGACATGTAACTTTGATCTGAAAGCCGAGGACTTTCGTAAAACGACATTATTATTTATTGTTTCGAATTTTATTTTATTGTTATATCTATTGGATAATAATATCTCAGCATGTCCAAAACAAAATAATAATTTTAAATACAAATATTATTTTACTGATGTTAATCCTTCTGTTTTGAACATAACAAAATACAGTGTCTTCATGTTTAGCTCATCATCAAACTATTGTGATTGATCTAAATATTCACATTTTTTTTTTTCTAAATAAAATATCCAACGTATTCCGACAAAAAATGCATTCTTGGTCATTTGCAAAAGGTTAAAATTTATTTTTCTGTATCAGCCTTGGATGTCGCAGAAGAATTCTGTCACTAGACAACATACAAAGGCTTTGTTATCGTCAAATTCGTTAGTGGTATGCATACAATACATTATTTTGTTTTAATCGACTTGAGAAAGCGAACTTTATATCCATTCGTCATTTTAATGTTATATTTTACGCGTAGTAGTATTAGGGAAAAAAGTTTTGTTATCGTAATTTATTGACAGAAAACGTGCCTGAATATTGTCTTATCTTTGTTGCAGGTCATGTAACGAAGAAACGCAAAAAATAGACTGGCTTTTCGGAACACGGCATGGACGTTCGGTGGACAGCATTCTTCACGACATTTATGCCTTTGCTGTCGTGTTTCTTTGACATTACAGTGACATACAAGCAAGAAAGTGAGTACCATTCTTATCTATTTTACGTTTCTTTCATGATTTCCGTGATATTAGTACTGCTGTTGGTAACTTTAATCATCATAAGGTCGTCAGTCCTAAAACTGGTTGGAGACGCACTTCCACTATTTCCTATCCTGAGCTAATCTTCGCATTTCTCTAAAGCTAGAAAAAAAACTTAAACTTAAACTTTCATTCCCACCAGCCAGTAATGCTGGTGGGCGGGCAGTCCCTCCGAACTATGCCGGAAGGTAGGGCGGAAAGCCCTCTTCAGCCTGCTTTCAGGCATCGTGAGAATGGGTGGGTGGTGGTTCGTGTGAGAAAGATGAGACGGACGAAATGAAGACAGAAGAGAGTGAAAGATTATCTGTGGAATATTACTGCCTTAGCATTTGCCTAAGTGATCCAAGGAAACCATAGAAAAACTTGGACCAAGCCAGACGGACCCGGAATCGAACCGGCGTTCTCCCGCATGCTAAGCAATGGTCTAGACCTCTAGGCCATGCCGCTCGGTTCTCTAAAGCTAGAACAACCCATATCCTTAACTATTTGCGTACAGTAATCTAATCTAGGTCTACCTCTACCCTTCCTAACTTCCGTTTCTGCCTCTCATATGTCTCTGACTAGACCTTCATGCCTGAGAAGATGTCCTACCAACCTATCTCTCCTATTATTTATTGACTTCCATAAAGACCTCAGTACTCCTATTCTTTCTAATACCTCTTCATTTCTAACCTTCTCTATCCACGGTATCCTCATCATTCGCCTGTAACCACATTTCGAACGCTTCTAACCTTTTCTTTTCCACCGCGCCCACTGTCCATGTTGTGCACCCCTACAGCGCCGTGCTCCAAATATACACCTTTAACAACCTTTTTCGAATTTCTAAATTAACCGTTCGCGACCATAGAAACGATTTCTTTTTATTGAAGGCGACTCGACTCTGAGCTATCCTTTGCTTTATATCCCTACTACTCCTTCCGTCCTGACTTATCTGACTTCCTAGGTACGTATCTAAAATCGGCCACCTCTTCTAATTTTTCATCTCCTTTAATAATACCTCTAAAATACGTACCTATGTATTTTTTCATACGTGTCAAAAAAGTTAAGACGGAAGATAAATTGAGACGATAATATTGCAACGACGGATGAATTAAATTGAAAATATTGATAATATATAATTGAATATGTTAAGGTAAATTGAAAACATTTCTAAGTATTTAAATAAAGGAGACACATTAATATCTAACTCTCGATTCGATTGTAGTTCCTAGTTTGACCTTCATCTTACCTTGTGTGAAACAAAGAAAAGTAAGAGAAATGTGGTGGCCAGAGACTCGGAGATGTAGGAGAAGTTTAATTTAAGAAAAGTTCTATTTTCAAAAAGTTTTATTTGCTTTATAGTTTATGGCCTTACGCGCGTGTCAAATCACCGGATGGTATCGATCGTCTGCGGCATTCGTTCATTACATTAATTTGAAAGTTAGATCGATAAGTAGTAAATCCTAAAATTTGTACAAAATTAATTAGTAAATTAAATAAGTAAAGGAATATTTAGGTTGAAATATTGATTACAATTTATCAGTATATATGTAGATATATCTTACAATACTAAATGCCAATATAGACTCATAAAAATCTCAATTAATCCAATGTTAACAGCATGGTATTCTGGAATTTTCCAGTGATGCTAATTAATATTTACGTGGATACTGCATAACAGTTTCAAAATAATTTGGTTTAGTGTAGGTATGTTTATTACATTATTACTCAAAACATAAGCATGAATCGAAATTTTCATTGAATTTAACGGCGGTACTAATGTGAAATCCTTGCAGGATGCTTAACTTGCTACTAAAAGCTATCTATACGTGCGACACGACCGCAAATCAATTACATTGTTCAGCAAAATACGTAAGCTTTGTGTTTGGATATCTCATTAATTAACTGAAACAACCGTTTCGGAATGTAAGCACGGAAAGGGGGGGGAGGAAGGGTCGGAGGTGACTAGAGCACTGGGATGGTTCACTGGTTGGATCGTGTGACGAACTGGCGCTCCAACGTTAAACAATAATTTAATATAAAAATCGAACCAAAACTACAGAGGCATGACAACCACTAAATAGATACAGGGCGATATGTAATTGTAAACTAAAAAAAAAAAAACGAAACTGTTTATTATTACAAATCACCAATCTTTCGACGTGCTAAACGTGTTTAAATGGTAATATTCGTCATACCCTTCCATATCACCCGAAATACCTCAATTTCATCATCGTCATAAGGTCGTCAGACCTAAGACTGGTTGGAGACACACCTCCACTCTTTCCTATTCTGAACTAACCTTCGCATTTCCCTAAAACTAACTATATGTGAACAGTAATCTAATGAAGATCTACTTCTCCTAACTCCTGTTGCTGCCTCTAATATGTCTCCTACCAGCTTCATGCCTGTGAAAGTGTCGTACCACCATATCTAGCCTATTTGTTATTGACTTCCATAGAGTCCTCTGTTCTCTTACTCTTTCTAAGACCTCTTCATTTCTAACCTTCTCTATCCACGGTACCCTCATCATTCGCCTGTAACAACACATTTCGAACGCTTCTAACATTTTCTTTTCCGCAGCGCCTACGGTCCATATTTCGCACCCGTACAGCGTCGCGCTCCAAACTTACAACTTTAACAATCATTTTCGAATTTCTAAATTAATCTTTTGCGACCATAGGAGTGACTTCTTTTTATTGAAGGCGAATTGACCCTGCGCTATCCTCTGCTTTATATCCCTACTTCTTCTGTCCTGACTTATCTGACTTTCTAGATACCTAAAATCAGCCACTTCTTCTAATTTTCGTCTCCTACCTTTATATTCGCTCTTTTCCTACTTTTTTCTTCCCTTGCATACAGTACTGATCAGTCAGTACAGCTTCGATTTTATTTAAAGCTATCTCTAAGTCCTCCTTGCTAGATGCTAATACTGCTGTATCATCTGCAAATCTAAGCATACTAATCTTTTGCCCTTGCACATCTATCCCTACAGTTGTACTGTCTTTAATGATGTTGATGGCGTCTTCGATGTATAGATTAAAAAGTAGCGGTGACAGTGTGCATCCCTGCCTGACTCCCTTCCTAATATTTACTTCTCTACGTTG